AGTATTGCTATACAAAATTTTGTCTAAAAACAGTACTTTTTTGCACATTTTTTGATAATAAATTCTCCAATCTTTTGATTTTGTGTGATGACAGAACCTTTTCTGATTGATCTAATTGTGATACCGCATCAGCAAAATAAGTGTGAATGCGATTGCAAAGATTGACTGGCTCAGCTTTTTTAAGAGGACACAATTTAAGATACTGGTTAGGATCATTTACAGCAATAAATAATTCTTCAGAATTTGGGTCTGTGCCTTCAGCAAGAAACAGATGACTAAGACGATTTGACTGACAACCAATTTGCCTCAATAGAGCTTTTGATTCTTCTGATGGAATGAGCTCATCAACATGATAGCATATCCAGGGGTACTCTTGAAAACTAACAAAGTCTGTATTGTCAGATTTTCTTGGCAAGTGGACAATTAAAATAAATAGTGTTGATGACTGTTCTTTAGTTATTTCTTTAATTTTATCAACTAGCCGGTATCGACAGCAAGATATTAGGTTACCATTATCCTGTCCAAATTCACACTCATAGATTTGGTAAAAAGGTTTCATTTTTCCTTTTTCAATAGCAACGCTATAAACAAAAAATCTAGAGCAGTTCAAAAAGACAACTTACTCAACACTAGCAAGGAATTCATATTCAGTTTCAAATGCTTCTATATGAGCTCTTTCAAGTTGAGCCTCATCTATTTTTAATGATTCTTTTAGAGATTGTATTTCTTTTTGATACATTGGAAGGCTATGAGAAGTTACCTAAAAGTTTTACAGTAACTTGAAGAAAACAATTTTTATAATGTGTACCTGTAATAAGAAGGTATTTTCATGATGCCATGAAATTCTTTGTAAAAGTCCAACAAGTGAAGAATGCTCTTGTTCATAAAAATAAACTTGTCTCAGAAACATTTGGCTTTCTTCAGTATCTTTTTCAAGAGCTCTGATTACAGCATCTGGTGTAGCCATTTGTAACAGTAATTTCTTACTTAGCTGCAACACCTGCATGCAAAATGACATTGCTTCATGACAATAACAGTATAAATACTTTTAGTACCATCTCTTGTTTTTCAGAAATATTTTCAAGAAAATGAGCGCTAGCTTGTAGGACAACAGCTGCTTTGGTGTCAGAATTGTATCCAACAAAAGCATCTTCTTTCTTGAATCTGTTCAAAGATATAATGCATCATATAAACTTAATTTATATACCCATTATTATCATCAGTCATTAAATTTTCAAGCCAATTCTTTATGTCATCAACTACATTCTTCTGCCAATCTTCCAGAACTGTTTCATTATTAATAAAGTGTTTCTCCAAACGATTCACTAAAGGTGTAGGAAAGTCTTCATAAACTTTTTTCTTTTCAGCAATCAGTATAAGTCTAAAATTTTATAAAATGTAATCAATCATAAATATTAGAACTATACTTAAAATTTTTATGGACAGAGCATTTCATTCTGTGAGTTCGTAAGCCAAGATCAACATACCGATGACAGCCACTTTTAATATAATACTAAAC